AGCCGGGAGCGTTCGCCGGCCCAGCGGATGCACCCCGCGTCCCTGCCCGCAGCCCCGAGGGTGAGTTTCCCTCGGCGCCCAGGTTCGGGCAGGGACCTCGCAGCCCTCCTCAGCCCGCACCGGCAGGAGCGCCCAGCCACCCGCGTCCCGGCTGTCCCGGGGCGGCGTGGTCGACTGTCGCCATGGGAACGGCTGGACCCCCCCCAGTAGCCTACCCTGGATGGGATGGGGCGGTGAAGGCGGCTCCACGCCTAGACTCTTAGAGCCTTAGTGCTCTCTGTCTGGCCAACCCGGGTCAGAAAAGCTTGGTGAAAATGGGACCTTCCTCCCCCCTCTTCTCATTTTTGATTTCTCAGGTGTTGGCGTTTGATCAGAGAGCGGCGTGAATGTGTTGAGAAGATGTGAGTTGTGTGCTTTCCTCCTTCACCTGCTGAGGGCTCATGGTGACAGGTGGCAGTCATGACACAGAAGGGCAGTTTGAAGTTCGTGAAGAAAAACAAAGCAGAAGAACCTGAATTGGAGCCCCTGTGCTGCTGCGAGTACATAGATCGAAATGGGGACAAGAACCACGTGGCCGCTTTTTTGTGTGATTGCCAAGATCTGGATGAAGGGTGTGAGAGGTAAGGGCAGAGTGTTTCTCCATGCCCACCCCACTGACCCTTTTGAGAACTGCAATGTATACTTTCAGCTCAGCCACCCAGAACCCTGGGATTGGCTCTGATTCTATTTCCAAGGATCTAGCATCGAGGATAGTCTTCTACGTCAAGGGTAAGGATTTCATAAAGATGAATTACTCAGCCCTGCACAACTGTATGTTCAGCTCCGTTTACTAGGACCTTATTTTTCCTTTAAAGGGAGAAGATGGAGAGAACAGACCGATAAAGGGATAGAAGGCAAATTAAATGTGTAAAAAATATAAAATGCAGCCCCGCAGAATCAGTGATTTTAGAAGGAGCACTATGCCAGAAAGTTCCTACGTTCTCAGGGATCTCAGTGATTGGAGACTGCGCAGAGGGCCTTGAGGGTGGACAGATCATTTTCCTGCAGTTGCAACTGGTCTCACCCCTTGTTATTGGGGAGGAGATCCAGCTAGGAAACACCTCCCTCCCCTGCACTGGCTATTTTCAACATGAGCAGCAGGACTGTTTTGTTTGATGCTATTGTATTTGGCTTATTTTCACCATTAATCCAAGTGATGAAAATTACTACCCAGAACAATAATTTTTAACATCACTGAAAGAATTTTGTATCAAAATATTAATAACTTGGCTTTCCCCCCCTTTTTCTAAGTAATATATTTAAACATTGTTGCCATATGGAAAGCATAATGTGGGAAGAATGAGAATGTTGGAAACTTGCTTTTCCTATTAATAATAACTCCTTCTGCGTAAAAAGTCATTGCAGTGGCAGATTGCCTATTTAAAACTTTGTGCATTAATTTAGCATGAAAGGCATCCTTTGGGACCACTGTGGTCTAGTACCAACCTTGACACCTGAATACCTTATACTTCTTACTAGACAGTGTCTAAAACCTTTTTTTACAGTCTTTAAGTATAGTTTCTTTAGACTTAGTCTAGAAACCCATGAGAAAATGGAGCACTTTGTGCTAATGAATGGAGAAGTGCTGCTTCCATAATCTCCATCATTGAAGATCGCAGCTCTTCTATTAACCTCCTAACTCTCCACCCTCCAGGCCTTGAGAACTGGGCTGTGCCTGAATTCTCTGCTCTCTCCATATACTGCTCTGGAGATAGGCTCCCACTGCTCTGTATGACTCCCTCCCATATAGTTACCGCGCTTCCAAGTTCTAGCCCTACTTTTTTTTTTATTGTCTAAAATCAGTGTGATCGTTCCTTAAACTGTTCCTTGCCTTACTAGCTTAAGTATGCAAAAAAAGTCAACAATATACCATGTGTCCTCCAAGCTTGGGTCATTTGACTCACACTAGTTTGATCTCTATTCTCCACCATGCAGACCCCTCCCCCTGATGAACGGGTTCACTCTCGGGGCCCAGGACGGATTGTGTGCCTTACACTGGAAAGCCTCCCACCCTTGCTCCTCCCATGTACAAATGCTAGCCAGCCGTCAAGGTCGAGTGCAGATCCCACCTTTTCCACAAAGACCCCTCTAATGACTCCACTCAGATTGTTCACTCTCCTTTGAGCATTCCTTTTGATGTTTGGCCATCATAGTTCACTGGGTGATTTTGCTGCTTTGTCACTTACCTAATAATTCTTGAGTTCCCATGTTGTCTTGTCTTTACAACTGCCTTGTGAATTTGTTTGAGACTTTTATGTCTCTACACCCACCCAAGTCTAGACAGTATGTGTATGGAATGTGCATATTTATATATATTTGTTGCAGGGAGAAGTCGTTTAAACTGTTAAGTATCTAAACATTATATTCTGGTTTATATTAAAAAATGACACACGGTTTTGAAAATAGCATGTGTAGTAATCAGGCAGTAGAATACTTGGCCTTTGGCCTCCTTTGTCATTTATCCTGCTGCTTGACCTACGGTGTTCATTGGTTTTTAATTCCACAAACCCACATGAAGTGCCTTTTCTCTGTGCTCTTTCTGAATAGATGGATTACATGCAAATCTGTGCAGCCAGAGACTTGTGACAGAATCATGGAAACAATCTCTGATCGCCTCCGAATTCCTTGGCTTCGAGGAGCCAAAAAAGTTAACATTAGCATCATTCCCCCTCTCATCCTCCTGCCCATCTTCCTCCGAGTGGCCTCCTGGCATTTCCTCCTGGGGGTGGTGGTTCTGACCTCCCTGCCTGTGCTGGCCCTGTGGTACTACTACCTCACTCACCGAAGGAAAGAGCGCACTCTCTTCTTCCTGAGCCTCGGGCTGTTCTCTCTGGGCTACATGTACTATGTGTTCCTCCAGGAAGTGGTCCCCAAAGGGCGTGTGGGGCCCACCCAGCTGGCTCTTCTTACCTGCGGGCTGTTTCTGATCCTCTTAGCCTTGCACAGAGCCAAGAAGAACCCAGGCTACCTCAGAAATCCAGCCAGCGAGGACACATCTCTGGGCAGCAACCGAACTGAGTGCCTGAACAGAAAAGGGCAGAAGACCAAAGGGTTCCCTGGCGCGGATGTGTCGGGCATCCTCAACAACCGCACCCTGAGGGATGATCAAAAGGGCTCCTCCAGGTCGTTGGCTGGAAGCCCCACGAAGGCGAAGGAAGATTGGTGTGCCCAATGCCAGCTCGTGCGACCTGCCCGGGCATGGCATTGCCGGATATGTGGCACCTGTGTAAGGAGAATGGATCACCACTGTGTCTGGTATGTGGGAAAAAATTGGAGGCTTGCCAAGTGTAAATTCACGTGAGACTCTAGCAGTGTTTGATCGTCCTTTGTATCATCCTAAAATCTCTCTCCTTCCCAGCTTTACATCTTGTAGATATTTGTGGGCTGTTAGGATGTTCCCACTTAGTCATCAGTTTTTCCTAGTTTCACAAATTTAGTTCTTTCACAGTCATTTCCTGAAGGTGTTTTTTCTTTTTCCTTTTTTGCCATTCTCTTTTGAACTGCCCCTCATTTATCTTCTTTCTAAAAGAGAAGCATCTACAGTTGAATGATTTTTTTTTAAAGAATTTATCAAAATCAGTGTAGGCTTATTTTCTCTGGAACACAGAGTTCAAGCAAGTGTTTCCATATTTTCAGGGGATTTTTTTCTCTCCTCTCATCATACATCCTTTATCATTCTGAAGCTACTAATCTACATTATTGAGGTGAGGTCTTGCTAGATAACTCCCTATTTGGTTATTGGTGGAGAGGTGGGCTTTTTGGGTACTTACCCACTGGCCAATGACAAATGGGGACACATAAGGCCTATAAGATAAGATGCAAAGGGCAAGTCTTAAAAGTTAGCGTTGCAGCTCTACTGAGTAAATCTTAAACTCACGGGGGTGTAAGTACTTCAGATGTGATTGCCCTAGGTAGCATGTTTGCAACTCTATTGCTCTTAAGGCATTCGAGGTCAATGAATTATGCTTTTTAGGTTACCTGGCAAACCTTCAGAAAGGGATGTCCCAGAGGGTAAGGTGCAGGAAGGCCAGAGGCATTGGGTGGACCTTCGGTATAGGGACAGCTCTTTTCTGGGGCGTTGTCTTTAGGCATAAACAGGTACTTTCAATTTTAGATTTTTCCACTTCTCTTTGTCATTTTTCTCTCTCTCTGGCCCATTTACGAGTTCTGGTTTGCAGAAGGCCTGACAGTCTCGCCCAAAAGAAGATTTCTACCTACTGGGGCATCCTGGTGTCCTTGTACATTCTGTCCTACATGTTCTACAAATGGCTGTGACACGGACTCTCTTCTATCTGACAAGTAGTCTGCATATCATCGAGTAGTTCTTCATTCCACACCAACCAGCTCTTTTTACTAATACGTTCTTAACATATAATTTCTGATGCTGTGTAACACTTCTTGATTTTTTTTTCTTTAGAGAGAAGGGAGAGAAAGAAACATTGATTTGTTGTTCCACTTATTTATGCATTCATTGATTGATTCTTGTATGTGCCCTGATGGGATTGAACCCGCAACGTTGGCACATCAGGGACGATGCTCCAACCTACGGAGCTACCTGGCTGGGGCCTGTGTAACACTTCTGATCTAGCTTTTTAAGTTTACTATCATCCTTTCCGTATCATGGTAATTATATATTCAGTCTCTTCATAGCTGGGTAAAGACTTCACTTACTAATATTTAGAAAGATTAATTAGCCAGGTTCTGCGTTTTACTGTGTCTTGTACTTAAATGAATGATAGGATTTCACTTTGTAAAGAGCAGAGATTGTAAGACTGCATCTCTCAGTGGACAAGTTTTTAATTCTCTATAATTGAAAAGTAAGATAGCTTTTTGATGACTGAAATTCAGACTATTCCTGTTTTTAAAACTTTTTTGTTTATTATTTGTTTATTATTTTGTTAATTATATTATAGAGAACTTTTAAAAACATGTTTGTTTTCCCCCCTGTGCTGTTTTGAGGATAAATGGCTGTGTCGGAGAATGCAATCATCAAGCATTTATACTTGCCCTTTCGATCTTCTTGCTCACCTCGGTGTATGGGATCACGCTGACCTTGGACACCATTTGTAGAGATAGAAGTGTCTTCACAGCTCTCTTCTATTGTCCTGGAGTTTATGAAGATTACAGGTGAGCTATGGACACCCCAGCACGGAGGCCCAGGAGGAGGGAAGGGGTATTGCCATTCACTGTAAGGGGCTATGATTTGCTACTAGGTTAGGGACAGGTTATGCGGCTTTTGAGTATCCCTGAAATTGCCAACAAAATTGTGCAGTGGGTGGATAGGTGTAGTTTTCTAGGGTGATGTCAAAAGGATCATTGACCCTTCAAAAGGGAGGAACTAGTACTGCAGAAGTAGGACCAACCAGCTTAATCAGGGACTTCCAGGGTCAGATGGCCACTCACATGCACAACCAAGTGAGGGTGAAACTTGAACAGACAAACTAGCAGTCTGTAGGGTGTGTATGTGGTCCATTTGGTCATAATCAGTGAACGCCTCACTTTACTGCTATTTCCTAGAGCTTTTTGGCCCAATATTAATTTACTGCTTCGGACCCTCTTGTGAAGTGTTTACAATTTCTATGACCTTCCTTTTCTATTTAACCTCTATTGCTTTTTCCTGTTCTACTTTTTTTTTTTTTTTGAATTACCACTCATGATTACTGTGGTATCTAGGTCAAAATTTCCTTCAGCTTCGTTCGTTTGGGCACATTTCTAGATTGTAAAGATTTCCATGCTTTGGAAGAAGCTGGGATTTTCCGGCATTGGCTCAAGCCACTCCCTCCCCTGGAAGCCACTCCCTCGCCCCTCTAGCCTGTTCTTTGTTTTCAGAACAGTCAGTCCCTGCTTTATCTGCATAGTGTCCCTGTGCAGGTATTTGTTTGTATTAGCCCATGGACAGATCTCCCCATTGCCATTACAGACCTAGACATTATGGGCTTTATTAGAATAGATTGGTCCTCCTCCTCGGGGGTAATAAGTTCCTTTTTTCCCCCACGTTGAGTCTTTGTAGGTTGTGAAATTCTTCAGTAACTACTATGCTTAGTGGGTTGTGACAAATGTCCTAGAGCAGAGCCTGTCTGTTACAAAGCATGAGTTCAGTAGACTTTCTGTGGGCCACTTAACTAAATAGCCCTGCCATGGGTCCTCCCTGCTCTGGATGGCCATTCATATCTCCCAGTTGAGCCTCGGTTTTTCTCATCTCTGTGGTGATTTAATCATCGCTCAGGTCCTTTTGGCTTAGATTCTGAATGAATTTATTTCCATGTAACTCATTTACAAATGTTTGAATGAAAATCATCAGTTGGCAGACATTGATCAGTAGCCTCTCCTCACAGTCTTGTTGGAGCTGAAAGGAGCTGTCTTGCCCTGTGTTCGGCTGTAGGAAGCAGAATTTGAAATATGCTGGTGCTCCTACACATCGTACATGTGGAGGGCTTCTGGCGTTGGGCGTTGTCTCTGTATTTGTATTCAGCAGCCTCGGACTGAAAAAGCATGGAAATTAAAGAACTTCCCGCCCACGGCTTCCTTGAGGGTGTCTATAGCCATCTTGTGGTGCCTTCGTTTTCTCCTGAGTTAAGAACAAGTTAGGAATTATTCATTCAACAAACAGATTTTGGATCCTGTTATGTCAGGCACTGTGTTGGTTGTGTGGGGGATACAAAGTGCAGAAAACAGTCTTTGCTATTCTAAGTAAAAAATACTGGAAAAAGAGGCACTAATAATTAAAAACTAAAACAGAACATGTTCATTAATGGTCATAATTTAAGCAGGTTATTGGTATTTTGAGGATAGAAGACTGTTGTCCAGTGGGATGATTGGGGAAGGTGCGTAAGTCCTCGGTAATAAGTATTGCATGTATAAAATGTTGGAACGGGGACAGCTTTCTGAACATGAAAGATTGGCAGCCCTGACCCGCCCATTCCCCTTCCCAGCTCGGCGCTGACCTTCACCTGCGTGTGGTACTCTGCGATCATCACTGCGGGCATGGGCTACATCTTCCTGATACAGCTGATAAACATCAGCTACAACGTGACCGAGAGGGAAGTGCAGCAGGCCCTCCGACAGAAGACGGGGCGCCGGCTCCTCTGTGGGCTCATCGTGGACACAGGCCAGTACAACAGGGGCTTCCTGCGGAACTGGCACCAGTTCTCCACCCTGGGCACCGCCCCGTTCCAGCACCCTGCCGAGGACATTGTCTGATGTGCCTTCTGTGCACTCAAGGTGGGGGGGCTCCCCCTGTTCCCCTCCATCCTACCCTTCAGTGTGCACTTAGGATGCTCGCTTTTATCTCTAGTTTCTTAAAGGCATTATAGGGCCACGCTCAGGTTGAGACTGGACTGGAGGAATGAATCTTTCTGACTTCACAGCCTAAGAGATTTTTATATCGAAGCAGTAAAAGTAGAGCCATTCCTTTCCAGGCGCCTTGTTAACTAACTCAGTCACCAGAAGCTGAAAAGGATGTGGATTGCTGATGCACAAATTGATCGAAGCAATTCCGTCCCTCAGTGTGGGAGGAAGAATCTTGGTTTAGGATAGTTTCTACTCCCTCTTTTAATTCCTAATAGCCATGTGACCCTTCTTTGAGTCACTTCCCCGAATCTCAGGTTCATTGGTAAAGTGGGGTCCTGATGTCTGCACTGGCTTCCCCCCAGAGCAGCTGTGAGGTCACATGATGGATGAGATATGTGAAAAGCACTGGAAAATAAAGGACCAGAGAAGTCTGAAGTATTACTAGGAAAATCCCAGACTGAAAGAAATGTTTGTAGTTCCGAATATTGAAGCCATTATTATTAGAATAATCTCTTTTTAGGCATTTTCGAGTGAAAAAACAATCCCCAAATACCATGCTGTACAGCTATGGGAGTTTCTCTTTCGGAAGCATTACAGTGACTACTCAGACAGTGTAGCAGATGACCAGATGGATTTACAGTTATCTGGTTGTAAAAGGAGAGTTGATACCAATTGCGAAGCTAATTATTGCTGGTGTAATGTACAGTGGTCATGAGTTTGGGTGATGCATCTTACTTTTTAGGTATTTGTTGTTTAAATTTACTCTAAATAACTCCAATAGGCATTAATGTTTCTTCCTCTTCCCATGTCTCGCGTGGTAAGGTGCTAACTACACTGTGACGATGGCTAGAAGAGGAAAACAGGCACTCCTGCAGCGAACACTTTACCTTTCCTGGGTACAGTGGTCAGTTAATATTAAGGGCTTGATTTTTTTTGTTTGTGTAAGTGATTTAAATGCGGTTAGCTCTAGCACTAAGTTGCAATAATCTGTCTTCCGGCATTCACATAATTCTGGCATGGACTCTCTTCGAGGGGTTGATTGGCATCTTCCCCCTTAACTTGTACATTCTCGTTCACCTTTCCCATATAAACGTATCTCACCAAGAGAGATAAAACAGGGTATATGTAGTTCCCACTAATTAATGGATTACTGTTGTTCCTTAGTTCTTCCTAAAATATCAAGTTATTTCTTTAATCATATCTCAAAACTGAAAATGTATGAAGGATTAAATATTTATGTATAATGGGTCTATTCTGCCACAGAATTAAGATGAGGCAGTTTAGGATGGGGAAGAAACCATCTTGAAATATTTGGTTTTGTACCTGTAATTTTTAAATTGAATTTATTGGGGTGACACTGGTTAATAAAATTATATAGGTTTCAGGTTATATAATTCTATAATACATCATCTGTATATTATATTGTGTGTTCACTGCCCCAAGTCAAGTTTTTTTGGCTGCCTCCTGCATGCTCCCAACTGGGGATATAGTCTGAAACACGAGTATGTGCTCTGACCGGGAATGGAACAGTGAACTCCTGGTTCATAGGTCAACGCTCAACTACTGAGCCACACCAGCCAAGTCAAGTTTTTTTCTTTTTTTCAAAGGTAATTCATTAGCTCTTAAGTTCACCTTGATTTATAACTTAATATAGGGAAGATATTGCCAGGTTCAGTCTTTTTGCATGCTGTGTAACAGAGGTTTATAAATGTTAAGGGGAAATAGGACTAACTTCCTGCAACTCTACCCTTTGAAGCTAGCACCATCCCTGGTACTGCCATTGATCGAGGCTGTCCCGAAGACAGCTTGTTGTTGCTCTTCCCAGAGATGGTTAACAAATGATAGGTTCTGTATTCCCCTGTGATGAGCCAAACAGCAAATCTGGGGGTGTTAGCAGAGGCTGTGGTTTCTACAGTGATGCATTCTCCACGCCTAGTCAAATATTCATTTGGAATTATCATTAGATCTGATACAGCTAATTCCTTCTGTGTATATTTGTGATAAGAGAGACAGTAATAATGTCATGGACAGCACATGTAGTTGGAAATCTCTAGTTGTAGTATCTTGAATGCCAGATGGATAGCCAACTCTGACTGCCCAGCAATCCTATATCATAAAAAGCCTGTGGTTGTGACGCCCTCACGCTGTAATGACCGATCACCAGGGGGCTGCGTGCATGTCAGGCACGCATGGATGGGTGGGGCTGTGTGCACGGTGAGGCGCACATGGGTGGGCAGGGACTTGACACTGCATCCCCGTGGACGCTGGCAGGGACTTGACCAGGAGCTGCATCGGGGGAGTCCCACAGCGCCGGCCATGGGGTGGGACTCTGGGATTCAGGGGAGTCCCATGTGGCGCCGGTGATGGCTTAATGCTGCGTCCCCACGGGCACTGGCAGGGGCTTGACAGTGCATCCCCACGGGCGCAGGCGGGTCTGGGTCTCGTGCGATTTCGAGGTGCACGCGGGTGGGCAGAACTGTGTGTGTGTGGCAAGGTGCAAGCGGGTGGGTGAGGACTTGACTCTGGGTCTCTTGATGCCGGCGGGACTTGACGCTGCATCCCTGTAGGCACCAGCCCAGACTCTGACAGGAGAGAGGAGGGAGCTGGGTATCCGCACCCAGGACTTGACTCTGGGTCTCGTGGTGCTGGTGGGACTTGACACTGCATCCCCGCAGGCGATAAATTTATATATTATTTTCATATACATTTTATTAATTTTTTTTCATCTCTGACACTTCTATTATAGAGAAAGGGCAAATAGCAATATTAAAAACATTTCCTCTAATTCCCTTTTAATGTGCATGAATTTCGTGCACCGGGCCACTAGTCCTATCTAATAATAGACAAACATGGTAATTAACCGTAACTTCACTACAGACAGGGTGGGACAGCGCCATCCCGCCTGCCCCGCCGCCATCTGGGCCTGCTATCTGTGACCTGGGTGGCGGGCGACCCGTGTGTGACCCGACCCAGGGCTGGCGGGTGTGACCACAGCGATCCGCCACTGGCCAAGCCCCCAACCGGCCCTCCTGCAGGAGATCGGGGCTGATGGGGTGACCGCAGCGGTCCGCCAGCAGTCACGCCCCCAACCGGCTCTCCCGCCGGTGATTGCCATCGGAAAGCTGGGCAGCAGCCACCGGGGGTGCCAGTGATCACCATGGCGATCGGAGGAAGAGAGAGCTGGGGCGCAGGCCAGGCAGTACCCCTGGACCCTCGGGGCCAGGGATGCTGGCTGGCCTGCGGCCCCCGGATCTGCAATGGCGAAGGGAGGGGTGGGGGCAGCAGGCACGGCGGCACCCAGGGCATCTGGTGCAGCCATGCCTGCAGCCCCCGGATCTGCAATGGAGAAGGGAGGGGTGGAGCAGCAAGCATGGCAGCACCCTGGGCACCAGGTGCAGGCCCAGGGTGCAGCCGTGCCTGCGGCCCTCTGATCTGCGATCGATCGCTTAGGGAGAGGCGGGGCCACAGGCATGACTGATGGGGCGACCGCAGCGGTCCGCCAGCAGTCATGCCCCCAACCGGCCCCCAGATCTGCAATCGCGAAGGGAGGGGCGGGGCAGCAGGCATGGCAGCACCCTGGGCACCGGGTGCAGGCCCAGGGTGCACCCGTGCCTGCAGCCCCATGATCTGCGATCGCTTAGTGAGGGCCGGGGGCGCAGGTATGGCGGCACCCCGGGCACCCCAGCACCTGACATGCAAAGGTCGGGGATGAAATGACTTTTCCCAACCACATCGGCAAATATCCTGGGGAAGGCATCACTGAAGAGTTCACTACAACTCTCTTACTTGGAAAGGAAGAAAAAAGTTGGCAACGGAAACAATCCCTTACATCAAAGTTAAGGTCCCTCTGAGTAAAAAAGAGTATTTCCAACGTAAAGGAGGGAGCAGGCAAAAATAATAGGTTCTCATGACTTCCACTGAAGTTTGAGCATATGACAGAGTCAAAACGAACATACAAATTAAAACAGACAGTGGACATTCAAATGACCCGAATAACTGTCACTGTTTGTCCCAATAGCAGCAATGCTTATGTGATAATATAGTTTAACAAACATACTAAACAAGTCACATGATACAAGAGGTTCGGCTTCTGAAGTAAATTATGTTCTTTAAAAATTCTTCCAATCAGAAAATTACCCCAGGTGATCCAGTAACATGTAGAACTTCAGTAAACTAACTTATTTTAAAAACAAACATCCCAACCATTTTTAAAAATATATAAATTGATATTTTAGAGTTAAAATTATAGAAGATATTTAGATCCAAATATATTTTCTGAATAGAAAATATTTCAGTTTTTGATTAAAAAAAATAAGCCATGGTGGCGGGGCCGAGGTAGAGGCGGTTAGAGGTCAAGAGGGGAGGGCAGTGGGTGATCAGGCTGGTGGGGGGCAGGGCTGGTGGGGGTAAGCAGACCAGCAGGGGAGCCAGTTGGGGACAAGCAGGCCATCAGTGAGGGTCAGTTGGAGGTTATCAAGACAGCAAGGGGGCAGTTTGGAGTGAGCAGGCCAGCAGGGGGACAGTTGGGGATGAGCAGGCCAGTGGGGAGGAAAGGTAGGGGCAAGCAGGCCAGCAGGGGGGACAGTTTGGGGTGATCAGGCTGGCAGTTGGGAGCAAGCAGGCTGGCAGGCAGAGTAGTTAGAGGCAATCAGGAAGGCAGGCAGGCAGGTGAGTGGTTAGGAGCTAGCAGTCCTGGATTGCAAGAGAGATGTCCGACTGCTGGTTTAGGCCCGATCCCTGTAAACTGGCAGTAGGACATCCTTCGAGGGGTCCCAAATTGGAGAGGGTGCAGGCCAGGCTGAGGAACATACCCTCCCCCATGCATGAATTTCATGCACCGGGCCACTAGTCTACACTAATAAAAGAGAAACATGCAAATTGGTGTCACTCCGCTATGCCCACCAGCCAATTGGATGAGTATGCAAATTAACCCAACAAAGATGGCAGCTAATTTGCATACGTAGGTGCCCAGCAGCCTGGGTCTGGGAACATCATCGGCACCCAGGTCACACCGAGGTAGACCCTGTGTGGGCCCTGAGCAGCCTAGGAAGGGCCTGAGCCAGGGGGCTCCTGG